AGTATTGTTTCCTGGTATGTATTTTGTAAGAGGTCGACCACGACATCCTCAGCCACAAGGTTGTGTAGAGAGAGCTAATGGTGTATTGACTGCTGCATTAGGGAAATGGTTAACAACAACGAATTCACTAAATTGGTCGGAAGGCCTTGCACCGGTTGTTTATGGCATTAATACAAGAGTTGCAAGCGCAACAGAATGTACATATGTTTGGACAAAAGCCAAGATGTGATCAAGAGTTCTGGAAGATTGTACAAGAAAGGAATACTGTAGATGAAGCACAATTACCAACACCAGTAGATGATATTATGGATAATACAGTTTTGGATGATGGGCTTGTAAGTACAGACGGCGCAATGAACTCACCAATGACTATTGACAATGATGCTTTTCCACTTTACGATAATACAACAGCAGATGATGTTAATTCACCTTTTCTTCTTGATCAGTCTTCAACATCAGTGTGTGCTGCACCTGTTCTTAATCCACTGTCTGGTGCAAATGTTTCTTCGAATGATAATCTTATTTCGTTTGATTTGCCAAAATTACCTGCAAAGGCTGTTTCGCAGTGTTTATTACCATCAAATCCAGTTTTGCTTTTGGATACTCCTACATTGGTTGTTTCTTCGATTGAACCTAATTCGAAATCTAATAGCTGTGTTAATATTCTGGATGAATTAGATGCTCTTGTAAATACCCCTGTTAAAACGACTTCACTTTCTTCATTGTCCTTATCAACTGTTGTTGTTGCTTCATCTAATACTATCGCAATTCAAACTTTGTTCCTGCTTTCATTTCACCACCATTTAATTCTTTACCGTCTGTTGTACAATCTCCACGACATGAGTCAGTGCGTAAACAAGCCACAGAAAATTATCTAGCTACTGCAAATAAGGAGCGTAAATTATATGAGGAACATTTGCAAAATCTGGCTGAAACCCTTAATGTAGGTGATTGCGTTGGTATCAACATTCATGACGTTGACAAAACCAATACAGATCCAAAACTTTTGCCGTGTTTGATATTTTCAAAAGAAAAAAAGGAAGATAGCGTTGTTTTCTTGATTCATCAGGTTTTTTCTGATGATCAATCAAATTCGTTGTTGTTAACCATTTCCCTAATGCAGCAGTCAATACACCATTAGCTCTCTCTACACAACCTTGTGGCTGAGGATGTCGTGGTCGACCTCTTACAAAATACATACCAGGAAACAATACTTTTAAGTCTTGAATAACATCAGCAACAAACTCACGACCATTATCAGAATGCAACAAACGTGGGGGCTCAAACACATAAAACAACTCTCTCAAACGTTCAGCAACTTCACTAGCTGATTTATTTTGTAATGGATACACCCAACTGAATTTCAAAAAATGGTCAACACAATTCAAAATCCATTGGTATACAATATCATTCGATACAACATCTGGACATGTTCTCATATCAATCAGATCAATTTGCAATCTGGTCATTACACTTAATGAAGTAATCGGTTTGGAAACCTGTTGTTTAACTGGTTTACGCACTTGACAAGCAAAACAATGTTTCAGAAAAATTTCAACGACGAATTTTGGAATCCAAAAATATTGAGAAGAAATTTCAGCAAGCATTTTCTGTCTTCCACCATGTGATATATTTTGATGAGATTCACTTATAACAGTATAAAACGATTCATACAAACACATCGGTTTTTTTACTCTTAGCACAACAGACAACATGAACACCAGCAATTTTCAATAGCAGAAAATTGTTACGACACCAGAAAATAAATTTAGCAGAAAGCGTTTGAGAGTTCTTAGCTTTTCGAGTAATAATGCCATTAATATTTTTCATACGTATCCTTTTTAATAACAGTTTTCTCGCGATATTTTCCATTTAAATAATTTATGTGTTTATCGACATCGTCAAAAAAAAGTTTTTCAGAACCATTTGAAGAGTCACAAGAGGTTTCAGAGGCAGACGCGATTGTAAAAGAAGAAAGACGAATTGAATTTGTTGAAAGAAAAAATCGAAAGATAAATGTACGTTTGGTGTTAACATCTTTACAAGTAAAATTATGTTGAAGACGAAACGAACTGCCTTATTCATACGCAAAATTGCCTTATAATACATGAATAGTCGTCGTCAAAAGGAGAAAAAGAAATTCATTTTGTACTAAATGTTATCGTTATTATACTAGTTCTTCTCTTGTATCGTCTGATATTTGTTCTTTGTTTGACATACATATGGCGTGATCATCTTTTTTCGTCTTTTGTTCAGTATCTATGGGGGTCGTTATTTTTCTTTCACAGTTTGTACATTTTACTCTTTCATACCGTTTTGTTAAAAGCTTGAAATATTTTTCTTTCTATCTGTCTGCTTCTCCCTTTTCTCTTCGACATAGATAGATGATTGATGTCAAGTGTTTATATTCGTCTGTATAACCTTTCATTCTATCAAAATCAAACCTTGTACCTCGAATCCTCATTCTGTTACAGAGACTTGATCGTTTTATACTACGAAATAGAGAAACGTTAAGCATAACTTCACATAAAATTGATCGATTATTCTGTGCCTTGACGGATGATTTGTCGTACAGGTATCACCACAAGTGTCGAAAGAAAATATTAGTTGGACATACTCCATCATAAAACAGACTTGATTTATGAAATTGATTCGTGAAATTCTATTTAGGGGACAATTAAAAAAGAATCCAAAAAAAAGTCCTAAACCCCGTGTATGTGATAGTAGTGTCTATTCGTGTTAAATTTATTCGATAGATCTACTTTTCATTGTCATTGGGTTACGGGAAAAATCATCGAAGGGAGTAGAAACATACTATTGTTCACTTTATGCTAGGATGTCTTAGATGCAGAATGCCAGTTAAGATTAAACCCGACATTACATGAAAATAATGTCAAAATTCTAATTTTGTTTAATTATTTTTAGTTAGAGTTCGAATTTCAATTTTGTCTAGAGATCTTCCAGTCAAATTTTAATAAATACTTCATCATAGGACAGACTTTTTAGCTTTAAGTCACTTATCATAACACAAAACACTGTCTTCCTAAAGAGATCACCATCTCCAACTCCAAATTTCGATTTTGGCCAGACAGATTCCAGATTTGACCAGCCAGAGTTAGAATTCCAGTTTTGGCTGGCTAAATTCAGAATTCTTCATATGCAGACATTTCAATTCTAAGTTTGGCTGGCCAAAAGCGGAATTCCAGTTTTGGCTGGCCAAATTCAGAATCTGGCCGAATTCTAAGTTTGATCACAACATATACGTCTTATTTGCACAATGCCTAATAATTTGTTGAAAACAATCAGTTGCAAAAATTTAAGATATAGTCACTGACAATTTAATCAGTATACTGTTATATAATTTAGTTGATCAATATACTATTAAATGTTTATAACTTTTTTCTTTTTTCTTAAATATTTTAAGTGGTCAGTCAAGTCTAGTTAAACCATGTTGAAAGAAAATGTCGACAAAAACATCTATATCAGTATCATCTACTATTAAACAAAAACCTCGTCTTGATTTCGAAGTCGAAATCATTTTTTTTGGTGTTGTATATATTATAATTCTCAAAAATGTCATGCTCGTCTTCATATATGTAATATTACGGATAATGTTATAAGTTCACCTTCTGATCATACATGCAGCACTAATGCTATTTCAGCTGAACTTCGAAAATTCAATGAAGATCTTTCGTACCGTACAATGAATACACAAGAAGCAACCTACCTACTCGGGGATAGTTTTGCTTCTAATTGTTCTCTTCCTCGTCGATATTATGATTGATATCGGTGTTGATCATCAATAAGTTTTCAGTTCCATCTTTCCACAGGTTGGATTCGACTGCAACAGTTTCTCAGGTAAACATCGTTGCGTTACTCAAAGCAGAAACATAAAGCCTTCCATATTGGCGAAGAATCATCGTACTCAACTTGAAATCTCGATTGTTTATAGGAATTCATATGATAGCAGAAAACAAACGAGAGGAAAGTGAGAATTTTAGATTACTTATGTAAATTTTATCTTAGGTACAAAACTTGGCTATACTTCAGCAGTCATTCGTCAACTCAACGACTATATTCCAAGTAGTGACAGACACTCATCGCTTTTGCCATATGCTAAATTACTTTTCAACAACGATGATCCACGTTACATGTGTTAGCTCATTAAGAAACTGTCACCCATCCGACTCTATTTATATGGCAATAAATTATGCAGTCTAAGTGAATGGAGCAAATTGATGATTGCGACTGAAATAAGCATCATGGACGATGAAGATAACTGGTGCGCATTCCTCGAGAACGAGTATGTTGATAGTGAAGTAAAATGGAATTTTGGCTTTATATTCGGCCGAGAATGGCAAGTATCACGAGTGTCACCACTCGACATTAGTCAATTGGACGAAAATCCTCGATTTTACTCGGCACTTCGTCTAGCTCACACGACGTTTGCCGAGCGACAAATAGAAGTTACGGCAGAGATATTTGACTGGTATACGGAATGTATCGAACGAGGATATCTTCAAGGAGAAGTAAGAGCACGAGAATTGTCTAATTTTCATCTCATATATTAGATAATCTTCTCTTTTCAACAGCCTAAATTGACTCCTCAACAAAACCAAGTAAAATACAATTCACACAAGCGGAAGCTTAACCTTGAGTTGTTTGGAAGATTCACATTTCGAAATCTATCCTCTTTTGACTATCCTCGCTTAGACTCTCAAAAGATTAAATCGATGTCGTTCATCTGGCTCGATGAAATATTACATGATTGCGAAGATGAATTGCGTCGGATTATTGAGCCGTTTCAATGGAACTTTTTCGACAATGCATCAGATTGCATGTCGTTCATTGAAACAGAGTTACGCGAGCAACGATACATCGTTCTGATTGTCTCGGGATCACTTGGCAACGAGTTATGTACCGCAGGATTATGTTTGATGAAACAAATTTTTGCCATATACATTTATTGTGCTCAACTTGGTCCACATTTGAATTGGAGTCGTGACTATGGGCAAATTAGAGGAGTGTACAATGATTCTATAATGCTTGCCGATCAAGTCAAACGGGATTTCGATCATCTTCAACTGTCTTTGGGCGTGCATGAAACTACATGGTACACTTCAAACATTCCGCAGGTATCTAAGGTGAGCTCGATTTTCACTACGATGAGCAAGATACGCTCCTTATGATAGATTCAACACAAACTTTTCCGCCCACAAAACGCTTTGAAGGAAATCGCAATTCGTTTACTATTTCAAAAACTTTGATTTAGTAACTTCAGATCACTTTAACCCTTGGTGTTTGTCTATGGTTTCAACTAGATCTGCTTTACATTTTGTATTTATCATCACTATGCGATAAATCTTTTCATGTGGCAGTAAATATACCGGTATACTTATGATCAGAGAGAACATAACAAGATCTTTTGATTGTTGCATAACTAGCCTAAACTAAAGTAAAAACGATCAAACTTTTCGATGCCTCTTCAAGCGGGTTCGGATGTTGTGTCAAGTGTGTTAGTTAGCCTGAAGACTATGTGAAAAGTTAATAGAATACAAAAAAATCAGAAACTCGAACTATTGCTTTCGAGATATTGTCAAAATACGAGGACATGCATGGTTGGTTTGCGTGTTCCCGGTGTACAAAGTCGAGCATCATTACGAGGTATTTGGCCAACAATGTCGAGTCAGTTCATGCTTGTTCTACTTCAAATCGAACAAAACTTACAAGGAAGAAAGAAAGCAATTCAAAGCTAATTTTTCTTCGCAAACTGATCAATGCTTAGGTGTTTTTTCTTTGTGAGTCCAACTTGAGCCATCTATGTCTTCTTCTCCTCTCCCACCGTCTGTACCTCTTTCTCAATCCGTTTTTCGTCTTCCTTAACGGCCTTTTCCAGATCTCTGAAAAGGGTCCTGAACCATTTGGAAATGAGCGGTAAAATGGTTCAGATTACGTTATCTCGAATCTACACATTTTTGACCCTTTGAAACCTCTTCTGACTCATGCAGTGTTAGTACAATTCATGTTTTCCGTTCTCGAGGAAAAAAATGTTCGAGAAATGTATCGAGAACACTCTTTCATTCTGAACGGTCCAGAACTTCATTTTGGAGGTTTTAACATTGTAATGCTCTTACACGGCATGCGAGGTCGAAAAAGATCCTAACTACATTCCAAAGGCGAATCTGAATTAGAATGTCGTCAAACTAACACGACTTGCTTGAAGAATATTTATCATATTTGTATTTTTTGTAGCCATCTTTGTATAGAGCATTATTTGACTTTTCACCTCAAAATAGTTACATGACTATCTATTGGTTTTCATTTGTTGTATAAATTATTCTAATAGTTTTGAGAAATCGGACTACTTAACACGAAAATATTCACAGCTCTCGTACATCGCCTTTTTCAGTCTATGCAAGCAGTTAGCATGATGGAAGAGACTTAGAGCAGGTAGGGGTCGCATATTTAGAAAGTATGAAAGTGTTTCTTTCGCTTTTCATGACAGTTTCTTGTTAAATGACAAGAAAGAAACACTTTCGTGTTTCCTCAAATGTGCCATCCATACCTAGAGCTAAAACAGAAGAAAAAGTTGCCCATAAATATTGAATTTAGTGTTGACTCTGGCTCTGATCTATTTCGATGACGACTCTTCTCCCGAGAAGTTCATCTCAGACAACGAGCTTGAGCTGGAAAGTCGAGTCCACCCATCTATCGATAAAGTTTTCGTTAAATTTACTATAATGTGTTATACCGTTTCTATTTTTTGTCTCTTAAATACCAGCATGGAAAACATATAAGTCCCCCAACTCCCGCAACGCAACTTCTGAAAATGTATAACACTACCCTATGGAGAAAAAACTCTTCCCTTCGTGGTCGCTACCGTCTGTGACAAATGGCCGATCAAATGACCGACGCATAAACAGTTACAGAACAATATTGATCCAAAAGGGTAGTACAAGATCTAGGTCTTCTAATAATACGTCCGACACATCTTTACCCGTGGGCGGATTTTCTAAAGTGTGGTCTTCTATTATTGAGGGATCACTACATTTTTTTGCCGAAATAATTCAATTTTTACTAGTAAATCGTGGTTAGCTCATATATTTTGATAATTTTCCGGAAGCTTTCATTCACGATCGAATTCTATTCTGTTCTATTCTACATACTTTTTACGCTTTCTTCAAACATACCAGTGAGTCAAAACAAAAATTCGAGATCCTTTTCAGAAAATTAGTATAAATCCTGTGGATTCATCCATAATAGTTTATTCAAAGATTCACGCGCTCTCACATCTTTACTCAGTGACGTAAAACTTGGGTGTTCTTAACTTTGAGTATGGGTTTTTGATCATTATTGAAATGAACTAATTTCACCTACTGAAGATACAAATGAAGGCATCATAATGTTCTATTTTATAGGTTTCACAGAAAGTAGAAGATATGGAGTCGCCATCACCACTACCATTGACCGTTTATGACCCAGAACAAGCTCATTTGTTTATGGCTCATCAACGTACAATTGATACTATTCTCTGCATGCCGCGCACACCCGAATCAGGAGCAGAAATGATTGCTGAATTTC